TGGTGCTGCTGGGGTCCCTGCCTTGGACTCCCACCCCCTCTCCCCTTTGGCGTCCATCCCTTCCCTGCCAAATGGAGCGCTGACCTTGGCCGGGGCCGCCGGCAAGGCTGGGAGCACAAACAGCTCTTCAGAGCAGCAGTAAATCATTGATGGGTGGCTGATGGACACGTGGGGCCACGGCCAAGCTCCCTGGGCCGCTCTGTCCCTGGGGATAGAGGGGGGGACGGTGGCCCAGGATGGCTTTTCCCTGCTGCAATATCCTGTTTACAGAGCACGAGGCTGGTGTCCTGTTTCCATGGGCAAAAGGTGCCTGCCTGCTTTGCCTGGGGATGGGAACAGCACCAGCAGGGCTGTTAGGGTGAGGATGAGGATTAGGGTTATTCAAAAAGCCCCCCAGAACGCTGTGCTAGCACCAGGGTTGTTACAAACCATGCCAAGGAAAGCACATCCTGGCAGGGCAGTGCCACCCCAGGGCACGCCGGTGTGGGTGGAGGGAGCAGGATGGGATGGGAGGGGAGCCTTTGTGTCCTTCTGTCATGGAGTTGGGGTTTAAATTATGGGGATTAAATTCAATTATGGAGAATTATTAATTTTTAATTAACTATTAACATTATTTTAATTAATTAAATTATTAAGTGATGGGGAAATCCTAATTTAACTGGCTCAGGCTGTGAGGGTTCTGCTAGGTTCCCTTCAGGAAGTGCACTGGAGGATCTCCAGTTCTCCCAGTGTGAATGTGCTGCTGGTCCATGACCCCTCGTGCCCAATCCATTCCTGATGCTGCTGCCCTTTGCACAGAGCAAACCCAGCCCTGCCCCCCCGACCCCTTTTCCCAGCTTTATCCCAGACCCACCTGATCCACCCTGGATCAGGTTTGGAGCAAACCCTTCTGCTTCATGACCCCATTCCCAGATTTCACCGTGGCTCCTGCAAACCTGCACCCAAGCCCTGCTGCCATGGAAAATCCATGGACACAGGTGAGCAAGGAGCTGGATCACTGGGGGGGAATGTGCCCCCCATGCCTCCTCCTTTGGAGCACTGATGGATGCCCTGGCTCTCTGAAGTCTTTCACCACCCAAACTCCACTTTTTAATTTTTCTTTTTTTTTTCTCAGCGGAGAAATTCCCAGTTTTCCTCCCACTCCACCCCACTGAGGGGGGATTCTCTGATGTCTCGTAGGTCAGGGCTGTTGGTGACCCCCCTGAGGGGGCCCTGGCTGGGGTTTCTCTCCCGTTTCAGCAGCCCTGAGGCGTCTGCCCCTCTGTCAGATGGGCTGGGAATCATGGAGTGGTGTTGAAGCCGGAGAACAGACGGGCTAAAAATATTCCCCCGCTCGCTCCTGTGATCTTTCCTCCCCGTCTGCCCCTCCCTGCTGCCCTTTTCTGCTTTACACCACAATTCCATGGGATTGCAGCAGCTCTGCCAGGCTGGGAGCAAACTCCAGGAATAACCCCCAGGCCCAGAGCCACGACAAAGCCCTTTGGGGTCCCCCAAAACAGAAAGGATGGGAGAGGGGAAATGGAGTTTTTAAAGAGGGAAATGGGAGTGGATTTGGGAAATGCGGCTGTGGGAAAACCAGACTTAATCCATAGAAAATCCCTGCCTGAAAATCCCTGAATTTATTAATAATTTGGTGATAAACCAAACCTTTGGTGGCCCGGGTTGGGTGAGGAGCAGGGGGTTCGGTTTGGGGGCGATCCCGCCTTTCCCTCCGGCCGTCCCGAGGAATCTGCCGGGCTCCAGTGGCATTCCTGCTGCTGCTGAGGAGGATGCTGGGCTGCAGGAGCTGGGAATTCTGCGGGCTAGATCAGCAGATCAGCACTGCCGAGCCGGGGGATGCTTCTCTGCCCGGTGCACGCTTGGATTTTCTTGATGGTTCCAACTCTTGGGGGTTCAGGCTGGATTTTCTCATTTTTGAGCCACTTTGGGTTTAAATCTCATGCAGCTCATTTTTATTTTCGTCCTTGCTGACTTCCCAGGCAAAGGCTGGGCACGGTAAATACAGAGGGGGATTTTTGGGGGCCTGTTAAATGTAGTGGCATCCTCCCTCAGCTAAAATCAGACGGAAAGAGCCCCTCTGGGAGCATCCCCTGAATTCCTGGGGAGCCAGGGGTGGCTTGGCATTGCCAAAATTCCAGAATGCCCAAGGAGCCATCGTGCTCTCCACCTGGCTCCTGAGCTGGGGTGTCCCCAGGCCTCTCCCAGGGATGTTCCCCCTTTCCCAGCACCATCCAGGGCTGGCTTCTGCACACTGAGCATTGGCTTTCCCAAAATTCAGCTGGGATGGATGGAGTTGGAGCTGTCCCCAGGTGGGTACCCCCAGGGGCAGCACTGGGGCAAAACCCCTGAGGATGGGTCCCAATGTGCACTCACACTTTTAATAATTTATTATTATTGTTGTGGTTATTATTATTAATAATAATTTTTATTATAAATTAATAAGCTCAGGCTTATTAATTATATTACATTCAAACCAAATTGAAGCAGAAGCTTGATGAAATCCCCGTAAATTGGGTATTTATGCCCAAAAATCAGGTGGAATTCTCCTAAACAGCCCAGCAAAAGCTGGAGAGGGTCCCTCCAGCCTGGTAGCTTCTGTGCTGGGGTGACAGAGCCTCCCCCACCCCAGCCTGGGTAGGGAGGGAGGAAGAGCTTCCTTGGAAATCCCCGTGAAATGCAGGAATGGGAGCGAGGTCCAGCTCCTCTCCGGAGTTTATAGCAACGCTCCGGCTGTTGTGGCTCCGTGCCGGGGATTCTTTATTTAATTTCTTCCCCTTATGGGCTGAGAAACCTTCCCAGCCCCAGCACAGCCCGCTCACAGTAGCTGGGATTTGTTTTCCTCTCTTGTCCAGGGAGGAATTTCTAAATCCCAGCTGCAGCCAGAGCTGGAGCCCTGGAATATGCTGAGTTGGAAGGGGCCCATCGGGATTGTCGAGTCTGATGCTGTGCCAGGTGTCATCGAGCAGAGGTGACACCCCTGTCCCCAAATGCACCCCACAAGGCTTGTGGTCAGCGCTGAGGTCCCTGTGCTGCTGCTCCAGGGTCAATTTTCCTAGCAGGACATCCTGAAAATCCCTATAAATGGATGCTGGGCACCGACAGCAGCAAGCCTGATCCGTCAGCCTTTGGGAAGGGGATGGGATGCAGAGAGGGATGTGTTTAGTTTTTATTTTGTTGCTTTTTGAATAAGAATTTTTATGCCATTAACAAAATCCGAGGGACACTACGAGATAAGAGAGCTCCCACGTCTCCGTGTCCCTCCCTGCCAGTGACAATGCTGGCATTGAAATTCTGGGATGGGAGACACTCGCCTGGTGATAATGCAGGATCACAGTGAGCTGCTGCTATTTCCTGTCCTTTCCATAGAAATGCATCCAGTGCGAGAAAAATCCGTGTATTTTATGGGAATGGCATTTTCAGTCATAACCACAGCACCTTTTTCTTTTTAAATTATTGTTATTTTGAGATAGGCCTAGCAATGCAAAAACAAACCAAACCAACCCCAAAAGAATTCAATTTTTTTTTCCCATTTTCCATCTGCGTTTCCGCTCCTTGGGACTCTGAGGGAGATTAATTCCAGAACTGTGAGGGAAATGTCACCGGAGTCTTTGGGCTTTTCCTCTCGCAGAGAGCAGAGGCAGAGAGGACCCTGGCTGAGGTCCATCTTTCCGAGCTCTCCCCACGTTGCAGCCTGGGATGGCTTTTCCTGGAGCGTCTCCTCCAGCCCTGGGATCATCTCCCTTTGGAACGAGCCGAGATTTTTTCCCCCCCGGCTCCCGAGCGACGTCGCACCCGCGCCATCCACGTCGGTGTTTATACATCGCCTCGCTGGCATCCCAGAGCTCTTCCTGCTGCTTTATTTAGCCTCTGCAGCAAGGCAGGCGCTGGGTTCCTGTATCCCTGTGTTCCACAGGGCCTGGGATGGGGCTGGGATGTGCCCAGCGGGACCCACTCATCCTCCTCCGTGTCCGCCCCACAGCCCTAAAGTGATTTGTGGGTTCAGAGGAATGAGCTAAAGGGAGGCTTTGCTTGTGTTAACTGCAAGGGGGGGGGGGGTGTGTGTTTCCAGAGGGAGTTTTTGGGGAAAAAAGACATTTCTGGCTGGAATGACAGGCCCTGCTTGGACAGGATGCTCTCCATGCCCTTGGCGGTGGCACCAGTGGCTTTGTAAGGACTCGAGCAGGAGGTGTGGGGTAGAATCCCTCTCCCAGTTCCACCTGGCATGGACAGGAGGACGAGAGTGAGGCCAAACCCAGGGGATATCCAGCCCCAGCCCTGCAGAAAGCCAGGTTGTGTTTTTCCACGAGGAGAGCGGCGCGTTGGATTCCCGTGCACTGCCATAATGGAATTACCCAGCACGAGCTGTTGAGCTGCAAACAGATTCCAGCAAGGAGCGTCAGGGTGTTCACGGCAGAGCTGCTCTTTATTTAGGGCTGGGAACAAGCGGCTCCTCTCTCCCAGAGCCTCGGAGAGACTGCGGGGGCCGAGGCGGCCTCGCAGGTCAGCCCGAGGAACGCCTTTAGACAGTTAAAAGTGAGGAATAAATAACTCCTCCAAAAACAATCTCGCCAGATGGCACTTCTGAAGGAGGAGCAGCTCGGAGATGCTTTGCTGCTAATTTATGGTGCTGCTGCTGTTGCTATTCCGGGCCTGGGTCACCTATGGAGAGGTATCCGTGTGTGTGGATGTGTGTGCATCAGCTCCGAGGGGTGGCCAGGCCTCACACCTGTGAGCTCCACTCACCTTCATCCAGCTGTTTGTGGGGGATTTCATGGGAATGGGGTTTAATTCTGCTCCTGCCTCAACCTGAATCCTAAAAACTGGGATTCTGTGATCTCCCAGGGCTGGGAATACTGGGATGGGTGTGGGGTTACCCTACACAAGGGTGTTGCGACCCCCCCAGAGGACATGTGAGTCTCTTCCCTGGGAGATCATAGAAACCCAGGGTTGTTTGGATTGGAAGACACTTTAGAAAACCTCTCATTCCACCCCCATGGGCAGGGCCACCTTCCCCTAGCCCAGGCTGCTCCAGGTAGGCTCCTCAGATGGTTCCCATGGTAAAACACTGACAGGCTGTGTCTGCTGCTGCAGGGACCATCAAGGAGATCCTTGGCACTGCCCAGTCCGTGGGCTGCAGCATTGATGGGAGACACCCTCACGACATCATCGATGACATCAACAGTGGTGCCATCGAGTGCCCAGCTGTGAGTACCCAGCTCTGACTGAAATTGCTGTACAACATCTAGTTACTGAAAGACTCCACTAATGAGCTGTGTTTGCTTCTTCCAACAGAGCTAAGACTGCAGAAAAGGAAGTTGCCACATGAAGGCTCCTTCAGTTTTTTGTAGCACTTTAAATACTAAAATAAAGACCCAGTTGTCTGCAAACATTTGCTGGTTTGATTTGTCTCTGCAGGAGGTGTGGGGTAGAATCCCTCTCCCAGTTCCACCTGGCATGGACAGGAGGACGAGAGTGAGGCCAAACCCAGGGGATATCCAGCCCCAGCCCTGCAGAAAGCCAGGTTGTGTTTTTCCACGAGGAGAGCGGCGCGTTGGATTCCCGTGCACTGCCATAATGGAATTACCCAGCACGAGCTGTTGAGCTGCAAACAGATTCCAGCAAGGAGCGTCAGGGTGTTCACGGCAGAGCTGCTCTTTATTTAGGGCTGGGAACAAGCGGCTCCTCTCTCCCAGAGCCTCGGAGAGACTGCGGGGGCCGAGGCGGCCTCGCAGGTCAGCCCGAGGAACGCCTTTAGACAGTTAAAAGTGAGGAATAAATAACTCCTCCAAAAACAATCTCGCCAGATGGCACTTCTGAAGGAGGAGCAGCTCGGAGATGCTTTGCTGCTAATTTATGGTGCTGCTGCTGTTGCTATTCCGGGCCTGGGTCACCTATGGAGAGGTATCCGTGTGTGTGGATGTGTGTGCATCAGCTCCGAGGGGTGGCCAGGCCTCACACCTGTGAGCTCCACTCACCTTCATCCAGCTGTTTGTGGGGGATTTCATGGGAATGGGGTTTAATTCTGCTCCTGCCCCAACCTGAATCCTAAAAACTGGGATTCTGTGATCTCCCAGGGCTGGGAATACTGGGATGGGTGTGGGGTTACCCTACACAAGGGTGTTGCGACCCCCCCAGAGGACATGTGAGTCTCTTCCCTGGGAGATCATAGAAACCCAGGGTTGTTTGGATTGGAAGAGACTTTAGAAAACCTCTCATTCCAACCCCATGGGCAGGGACACCTTCCACTAGCCCAGGCTGCTCCAAGCCCTGTCCAGCCTGGCCTTGGACACTTCCAGGGATACAGGGGTGGCCACAGCTTCTCTGGGCACCCTGTGCCAGGGCCTCCCACCCTCACAGGGAAGGATTCCTCCCCAATCTCCCATCCATCCCTGCCTTCTGGCAGTGGGAGCCATTCCCCCGTATCCAAACTCCCTCCCCAGTTCTCTTGGAGCCCCACTGGAAGGGGCTCTAAGGTCAGTCCAGGCTGGACACCCGGAGCTCTCCCAGCCCTCGGAGCCTCCTCCGGCCGTGCTCCCCGCGCTCCCCGCCGAAGGATGCTCCGCTCCGCTCCGCTCCCGGGCACCTTCGGTGGCTCCATCCCCAGCGCCGGTGCCCGTGTGCCCTCCCAGGGGATGCGATGCTCAGGCTCTTCCCAGAGCCCTTCGTGGGCACCGTGGCGGCGTCCGCCTGGCTCCGCACTCCTCCTCCGGGGCCACCACTCGTCTCTCAAGCCCGGGACCACCCCGTTCCCGACCCTTTCCCCGCTGTCCCGGGCACGGCGCCGGGGCGGGAGGCGGCGCCGGTGCCGCTCGGGGCGGTGCGGGGCGGCCCGGGAAGGGGCGGGGGCGGCGGGATGGGCTGGGCTGGGCTGGGCTCGGCACGGCTCGGCTCGGCACGGCGGGGTTCGGCACGGCACGGCTCGGTTCGGTTCGGTTCGGCACGGCTGGCACGCAGCGCGCTCCCGCAGCCGCAGGTAGGTGCGTGCCCGGCGCCCCGCACCGCGCTCCCGCTCGGCTCAGCCCGGCTCGGCTCAGCCCGGTTCCGCTCCTTTCGGCTCGCTTCGGCTCAGCCCGGTCCGGCTCGGCTCGCCCCCGCGGGGCCGTGCCGCGGGTGGGCCCGGCGCGGCCGCTTGTTGCGCTCGGGGGCGAGTTGGAGCCGGAGCGGTGCGAGCGGCCCCGGCTGCAGGAATGCGAGTCATTTCCTCCGCCCGCCCGCCCGCGGGAGCTGCGGCTCCGCCGGAACCCCCCCACGGCCCCCGACGGCCGCGACACGGCCGCGACACCGCCGCGACACCGCCACGGCCACCCCGGACCCGCTCCGGCAAGGGGCGCGCTCCAGGGGCGCGCTCGCCCGCGGGACCCCTCGCCCCTGGGTCACACTCGTCCCCCCATCTGCGGGACCCCTCGTCTCTGGGTCACACTCGTCCCCACATCTGCGGGACCCCTCGCCCCTGGGTCACACTCGTCCCCACATCTGCGGGACCCCTCGCCGCTAGGTCACACTCGTCCCCACATCTGCGGGACCCCTCGCCCCTGGGTCACACTCGTCCCCACATCTGCAGGACCCCTTGCCGCTAGGTCACACTCGTCCACGGGTCTCGCTCACTCGTGCGCCGCCTTGTCCCCTCACCCACAGGTCTCACTCACCCTTGGGATCGTTTTCCCTGGGTGGCACCCACCCACAGGTCCCCTCACCCATGGGGTGCCTTGCTTTCAGGTCACACTCACCCACAGGTCCTCTCACCTGTGGGTCACTGTCACCCACAGGTCCCCTCGTTCCTGGTTCACAGGTGCCTGTTGGTCCCCTTGTCCCTGGGTTACACTCGCCCACGGGTCACATCACCCGTGACACCCCTTGCTCATGGGTGACACTCACCCCCGGGTCCCCCCGCCCACAGATCCCCTCATTCCTGGCTCACAGGTGCCCACAGGTCCCTTTGTCCCTGGGCCACACTCACCCAACTGTCCCCTCACCCCTGGGTCACACATCCCCAGTGGGTCCCCTCACTCCTGGCTCCTCTGTGCCTGTGCCAGCTCTTTTCTGTGGCTCATGGTGACCCACAGGTCCCCTCAGCCGTGCTTCCTACCATCTCACAGGTTCCCATACCTGTGATCCTCTCATCCACGGATCCTGCTGTCCCTGGGTCACAGCCACCTGTGGGACCCCGTTGTCCCCGGGTTCCCCTCACCCTCGGGTGCCCCCCACCCCGTGGAGCTGCTCCCTGCTGGTGTCACTGATGGCCCTCTGCGTTTCCCACCGGGAATGCCTGTCCCTGACTCGTTCTGGAAGCAGCCAGGATAAATCCATGCTGTCCTAAGCCAGGCTTTATCTGACCCGGTGCCCTCGTGGCAGCAGGGAAATTGGGCTGAGCTTTCCCAGGACCATCCTTGGTGTCCCTGTGTCCTTTGACTCGCCCGTGGGAGTGAGGCACATCCCAACCCTGCCGTGCCCCTGGCCCCCTGCCACCTTTCTGCAGTCTCCCATTCCCAATCCTCCTCTTCCTGCTTGTGGCCGGTGCCTTTCTGGCCATCAGGGTGTTTTTCCCTCTAAGCCAAACTCTGCTTTTCCAGAGCTGCTTCCGCGTGGCACCGATGGAGCTTTGCTGCTCTGCCTAATTCTGGGCTGGTTTGTGTTGGTGTTTTTCCACAGGGCTCGCTCTCCCTCTCCGAGTCTTGGATAGAGCTGGGATTAATTCGAGATCTCTTGCCTGAAAGAGATGTTCCGTTTAAAATTCCCAATCCCGAAGGCATATTGGAGTTTGGTTCTAGGTACTGGATTTTTACTATCGGTTTTTAAAGGGGTTTCTTTTTTTTTTTTTTAACTGGGTTTATTCAGGCTCTTTAAACCCCGAGTCTGTAAGCAATTATTCCATTACATGAAAGTCAGGACGCTGAGAAAGATTAATTCAGACCAGATGTAAAAATAAATGGGAATTTGAAATTAAGATGATGTCAGTTCCCTCCTGCTAAAAAAAAAACCCGGCAGCCTTTGGACTCCAGATGGAGTATACAAACCATGGCGCTGGTTAAAATATCTGCCTGCTCCTTAATTGAGTTTTATACCGCTTTTTTTCCCCCCCTTGACTGAAAAGTGGGCTTTGGATATTTTTCCCATAAAGCTTTCCCTGATTGTAGCCGGGGCAGGGAAGTTGATGGAGGCTGTGCCGTGGCTGAGGAGCTTTCCCAGCTGGAAAACTGGAGAGCGGCGCTGCTGAGGGAAGACAAATCTCCCTCTGCCTGCCCCAGGATTAAAAAAATCAGGAACTTGGTTTGGCTTTGTTTTGCTGGATTTGGAGCTGGAGGCGAGGACGCCACAGAGGGCAGCAGGAGCTCCGGATAGTCCAGGCATGGATTTGAATATTTTGGCATAAAATGGGGCTGACTTTTGGGTTCTTGTGTGTCTGCAGAGCACTTTGCATCCCATTTTTCCCCACTCCATGTGCAGCAAGCACTGCACATTCCCCAGAGTGGGAATGGGTTTGGGCACCAATCCCATGTAGAGTGAGCGGGATATTGGGAATGGGGCTCCCCGAAAGTGCCTCCTACTGGGAAGGAAGGGTTTACCCAGGGTCAGAGCATCTTGGGGGTGTGTTGTTATAGAAAATAATGTAAACATTCATCATTGCATATTATTAATATTAATATTTACGTGGCATTATTAATTATTTAATATTCTATTGTTAATTACATTTAAAATATGACTTTAATTTCTAAATAGGGAGCTCCGTGGTTTGGAGACTCAGGGCTGTGCTTTCTGTGGTGCAGGGATTTGGGATGGTGACTCTGGCCCTTGGGGCTGCTTTGTGGTCCAGGGATCCCGCAGCCAAATCCCAAGGGATTTATGGCAGCTGCTGCTGGTGTGGGCTGCAGCCTGCCCACGGAGAGGGGAGCAAAGGCAGTGCTCCACATCCATGTGCAGCCTTGGGAGTGATGCCTGTCATCCTGGGAGTGGGAGCTCTGGGAGCTTTGGGCTTCTTGGTGCTGGAGAATGATTCCTAAAATGCCTGGGAACACCGTGGGACAGGCTCTGGAGCTGGATGGGAGAGCTGGGCTGCCCTGAGCACAACCCTCTCCAACCCAGTCTGGATATTGTTCTAATCCCAAGGGCTGAGGCAAAGTTTCCTGGAAGGAAATCTGATGGAAGGGGCTGGTTCTGGAGCAGAGGAGGGAAGAGGAAGAGCAGGCGTTGTCCCTCCCCTCCCTGGAGCCCTTGCCAGGAGAAATCCATCTCTGTGTCCATCCCTGGCGGAGGCAGGGACGCTTTATTTATATTTTAGTGCTCCAAAGTCAGGGAATGAAGAGGCCTGGGGTGGCTCTGCTGTGGGCTGGATGGAAAATCAGCACTTCAGGCTGGATTCTGCTCCGTGCATGACGAGATAGGCAGGGCAGCAGCTTCCTGAGCTGCCATGGCTCAGCCTGTGTTTCCCCATGGAATGTGATGTCCCATGGGGCTCATCCCTAGCAGGAGGGGACATCATCCCATTTTTTAGGGTGATCCACCTGGCCCAGCCATTCCTGCTCACTGCTGTTGTCCCACTGCAGTAAGCAAGGGGGAGGAGGATGAGGAAGAGGAAGAATGTTGAAGAGGTGAAAACAGGCAAGCTCCTGGAGGAATTTTCCTTGGAGAGGCTTTTTGGATACCCCCAGCACTTGGGGGCATCTGCTGAGGCTGGTGGGGGCTGGCCCCTGGCTGCCCAGGCTGAGTTTCCAGCATCCAAATAGCTTTTGTGGTGGATGAAGTAATGGAATATTTATAACTGAGTCCTTTTTCCCAGTGAAGGTCTCTTTCATCTGCCTCTCTTCATTAGGAGGAAACTGTTGAGTTCATGAAGAATTGGAGACGATTTTAATTACGGGGCAACCGCAAGCAGGAATTAATCTGGGTTTTGGGTTCGGAGAAGCTGCATTAAGGGACGGCCCTAAAACTTGTAATAACAGCTCTGTGCATACCTGTGCCTGTGATGTGGGGTGAGACCCACTCCAGACTCTTCAAAACAAGAAATTCCTGCCCCGTGAATTCATCTTCCCATCTCGCCCCGCGCTCCGGGCAGCCTCTGGCTGCGGGATGGCCCCTGCCTACGTGTGGGTCCTGGGCTGGATCCCTTCCCTCGCCCCTGGGGTGCTTCAGGAGGGCTGGAACAAAAGCCTGGAGGTGGCTTAGAATCAGGGAATCGTGGAGTTTTTTAGGTTGGAAAAGATCTCTAGGATTGTAATCAACCATTCCCCCAGCACTGCCAAGGCCACCACTCACCCATGTCCCCACACGGTTGTTAAATTCCTCCAGGGATGGCAATGTCTGATAGGGCTGCATTTTTTTGAAAAGCGGATATTTTGGCAAGGAGGGGTGGATTTGGTTGATGGAGAAATGGACAGGATCTGCCTGGAGGCTGGATTGAACGGGGAGCACTGGGATGTCTGGTGGGTACCACAGAGGGACAAACCTGACCCAAACCCATGAGGATGGAGACTCATCCGCTTCTTTTAAATCCATTTAAACCCACGGAGAGGGAAAAACGCTGCCCATCCACCCAACCTCGCTTCACACTCACAGAACCTGGAAGAAAACCCCACCTCAGCCAGCAAGTTCAAACCATATTCAATCCCCACCCTGGAATTACATCCAAATTTCTATTTCTGACGAGATCCTGCTCCAGCACCTCCATCTGAACCAATCCCAGGCTCTGCCTGCCCTCGGATGTGTTTGCAGGACCCCGGGATGAGCAAATCCCTCGCCGAGTCAGCAGCGCCAGCCCCGGCTGCTTTTCCTGGGTTTTTTGCGGGATGTTTTCTTTGCAGCGGAGCTTTGCGACGGGATTTATCCCATGGCATCAGCACCAGGGAGGGAGACAATATTCCAGCAGCCTGGGCCTGGAAAACACAGTGGATCGAGGAATTTTCTCAGCTCTGGAGTCATGAGCACTTTGCAGTGTCTTCCTGTGGAGTTTTATTGCTCTTTTCCCCATAGCAGGGAAAACATGGCTGGAAGACCTGGATCTCCTCACTCTGCTGATCCATGCCCAAGTCCTCATTCCCAATGTTTTTTCCAGCTGACTTGGGATGGAAAACCCTTTGGAAGACTGCCTGGAGTGGAGGTTCCTGTTGGAGTGTGGGGTGATCTGTGTCACCCCCTGTGCTGTGGGGCAGTCCAGGGGGGCTCTCCCTCCAATCCAGGATCTTTCCAGCTTGGAACCCGGAAGGTTGGGCTAAATCTTTAAAGGTCCTTTCCAACCCAAACCATTCCATGCTTCCATGTTTGTGCCTCCTATCAACACTTCCTCTGGAGCAGCAGTGACTCAGCGAGGGCAGCAGCGCGGGGTCCCAGGGAATCAAAGCCCACATTGTGGGAATGAGCAGCAGATGCTTGGAAAGAATTTCCCGGCGTCTGGCCGAGGCTGCTGCAGGCACAACACCCTGGAAAGGGCTTTGTGTGTCCCCTGCTGAATCCCTGCAGCTCCCAGGGCTGCCAGAGCCCCTGGGAAGCACCTGGAACTGAGGGAATCTCCATAGGGACCGTCCCTGTGTGGTGGGCTGATGGAATGTTCCCATTCAGCAGCAAGAGCTGGGATGTTTTCTGTACAAATACCAAAATACACGGTTTGGGGTTGGGTGGTTTTTTCCTCTCCCATGTCCGTGCTCTGCTGACGCCAGCTCGTATGGTTTAATCCCTGGTGCTCTGGGATCAATCCAGGCTGCAGGAGGAGGAAATGCAGTGGTTGGTGTGGGGATGAACAGCCCCAGAATGCCAGAGAGGAACAGGACAAGAGGGAATGGTTTAAAACTGGCAGCGGGCAGGGTTAGTTGGGATATTGAGAAGGAATTCTTGTCTGTGAGGGAGGAGAGACCCTGGCACAGGCTGCTCAGGAAGCTGAGGCTGCCCTATCCTTGGAAGTTTTCCATGTTGGACAGGATTTGGAGGACCCTGGGATAGTGGAAGGTGCTCCTGCCCATGTGAGGGAGAGAACCCCAGTGATGGATTCTCCAGTAGCTCAGCAGTGGGTGCTGCCCACGGCTGGAATTTTGATCCAGCTGCAGCCCCCGGAGCTGCCACGGGAAGAAGCTCTCGTGCACCCCCGGGACTTGAGGAGCCCTGTGGGTGGGAGCAGGACACGGAGGGTGCTGCAGGAGCCCCGGGACACGGCCCCTCCCCAGCCCAGCCCGCGCAAGTCACATCACGCCGGTGCCCGGGAGCTGCCGGCGCCCGGCCGGGCCGGGCCGTGCCAAATTCCTTCAGCCCCGCTCCGTGCGCGCCGGGATCTTCAATGAGCCCTGAAACCAACCCGGCTCCCGGCGGGATCGGCCACGGCGGGCACGGCCTCAGAGCGTGGGTGCCATGGAGAGGTGCCAGGCACGGCCACAGCGCAGAGCTGTGGTGCAGGGATGCACTGCATGCCTCCAGCTCAGTGCATGGGTGCCACAACGCATGGGTGCAATGTGTAGGTGCAATGCATGGTTGCACATCTGTATTGCATGGATGCAGTGCCTAGGCGCCATGATGTTCCGGCTCAATGCGTGGATGCCACAATGCACAGGTGCAATGCATTGGTGCCATGATGTTCCAGCTCAATGCGTGGATGCCACAATGCATAGGTGCAATGCATTGGTGCCATGATGTTCCAGCTCAATGCGTGGATGCCACAATGCATAGGTGCAATGCATTGGTGCCATGATGTTCCAGCTCAATGCGTGGATGCCAAAATGCATAGGTGCAATGCATTGGTGCCATGATGTTCCAGCTCAATGCATGGATGCCACAATGCACAGGTGCAATGCATTGGTGCCATGATGTTCCAGCTCAATGTGTGGATGCCACAATGCATAGGTGCAATGTGTATGTGCAATGCATGGCCAGTTTGCTGCACAGATGCGATGCATGGATGCCATGAGGTGCCAACGCCATTTATGGATGCCACAATGCACTGATGCAATGCACCGATGTCATGATGCACTGCTGCAATGCACAGATGCAATGCATTGGTGCTGCGATGTTCCAACTCAATGCCTGGATGCCACAATTCATGGGTGCAATGTGTAGGTGCAATTCATGGCCAGGTTGCACATCTGTGCTGCGCAGATGCAATGAATAGATGCCCTGAGGTGCCAGCACAATTTATGGATGCCACACTGCAGTGCTGCAATGCACAGGTGCAATGCATTGGGGCCATGATGTTCCAGCTCAGTGCCTGGATGCCACAACATGAGTGCAATGTGTAGGTGCAATTCATGGCCAGGCTGCATGTCTGTGCTGCACAGATGTAATGCATAGGTGCCACAATGTTCCAGCTCAGTGCACTGGATGTCACACTGCAGTGCTGCAATGCACAGGTGCAATGCATTGGTGCCGTGATGTCCCAACTCGCTGCATGGATGCCACAATGCATGGGTGCAATGTGTAGGTGCAATGCATGGCCAGGTTGCACATCTGTGCTGCACAGGTGCAATGAATGGATGCCATGAGGTGCCAATACAATTTATGGAGGCCACAATGCAGTGATACTGTGTACAGATGCCATGATGCACTGCTGCAATGCACAGATGCAATGCATAGGTGCCACAATATTCCAGCTCAATGCATGGATGCCACGATGCATGGATGCAGTGAAGGGCCACGATCCACACAGGTGCAACACAGAGAATCTGTGATGCACCAGCGCGATGCATGGGTGCAGTATGCAGGTGCAGTGCATGGCCAGGATGCAGGGATGCAATGCATGGGTGCAATGTGCAGGTGCAATGTATGGCCAGGATGCAGGGATGCAATGCATGGGTGCAATATGCAGGTGCAGTGCATGGCCAGGATGCAGGGATGCAATGCATGGGTGCAATGCACATTTGAAATCCAGGGTCCACGATGCACGGACGCAGCCTCTGTGCTGCAGTCCCAGAGTGCCCTGGCCATGGGAAAGCATCGCCTCCGGATTTCCCAACTTCTGCAAAACCCCAGGAACCACCAACAAAAAGTCACCTCAGGGCACTTTTCCCCGAGCTGCTGCAGGAATTCCAGGCTTTCGGAAGCCAAAGGCGCTTCCATTTAGACCAAAGCAAATATTTGGTGACGAGGGAGACACTCTCCTGTCCGGGTGCCAGCGTAAATCTGGGCTAGGAAAGGGCTGAACTAGGTCAGAGTTTAAAGTCCTTCCTCATGGTGTCACGTGGGAATTCGTGTCCTTGTTTATGGTGGGGTAAAAAGTGCTTTGGGAATATTCACCCTCGGAAATGAGAATTTCCTGGGGTCAGTGTTAGGATGGATTTGTTGGCTCTGAATGGCAATGCCAATCTGCAAATCCCTGCTGGTGCTTGGATTGTTGAGTAAAGAGTCAGAGCTGGGCGGAAGGATGCTGGAAGGGATGTGGGGATCCTCTTAGGAGACCCCGGAGCATTTCCTTTCCTTTCCATGGCTGGCAGGGAAACCTCCCACTTCCAGCACCGCTCCTTACTGGCCCAGCTGGGTTATTCCCAGAGGATAAACTTCTATTTATTTAAATTATGCCAGAAAAGCCTTTCCTGAGGTTTTCCTGAACCCAAGCCGGGAGACTCAAACTCCTGGCTCCGGTTTTTGGGGCTGGGCCAAAACCCACGGGGGTGGCTGTGGTGGGGTGGCTGTGGTGGGGTGTGCTCAGGGGCTTTGGGGGACACCCCAACCATGAGCCCACACCGTGTGGGGACACGCTGGTGGGTGGAAAGGATGGGGGGATGCATCTGGGGAGCCGAGGGTGCCGTGCCCAGGGCTCACCCCCTTTTTTCCCACAGGGATGGCACCCGCAGAGCCCGAGGCCGCCCCGGCCCGCCGGTGAGGTGCCCCCCAGCAGCCACCCCGAGCCCCCTGGCCAGAGCACGATGAACAAGCTGCCTTTCCACAACAACAGAGTCATGCAGGACCGGCGCAGCGTGTGCATCTTCCTCCCCAACGACGACTCCCTCAACATCATCATCAACGTAAGGGACGCCCCCTCCCCAGCCTGACGTTTCCCTCACCCCCCCGGGGGTCGTGTTTGCACGCCCTGGCTTCGCTCCTGGGTTTCCTTTGGAGCTTGCCTGGCCTCGCCCTGCCGGGGAAATGCACATGAGTTATTCCCCTGGAGGCTGCAGGGGTGTTTTACGCTCTCCTGAGTCTCCTTGATCCATGTGATGCTGGCAGCAGCGGGGTTTGGGGAGGGTGACCTGCTGCTTGGCATCCCAGGGCATGGCACCAGCCCCATCACTCCACTAATCCCTTCTGGATGGCTCTTCAGCCTCCTCTAGCCCAGGGAATAAACAGGAGGGGCTTTGGTTCTGGTTGGCATGGAGCATTGAATGTGAAATTCCCCCAGTTTTTGTTGGTTTTTTGTTAATTCACCCCCACCCAGTCAGGAAAACGTTGAAATTCCTGTCAGGACTTAAAGGGAGCTTATAAAAAAAAGATGGAGAGAGGTTTGGAAAGAGGCGGATAATGATAGGATAAGGGGAATGGTTTTAAAGAGGAAAGATTTAGATTAGATAATAGGAATAAATCCTTGGCTAGGAGGGTGAGGAGGCTGTGGCACAGGTTTCTCAGAGAAGCTGTGGCTGCCCCATCCCTGGAAGTGTCCAAAGCCAGGTTGGATGGGCTTGGAGCAACCTGGGATGGTGGAAGGTGTCCATGGGGTGGAATGAGACTGTGAATATTCTGATCTCTGCCCCCAAAACATCTCCCCAGTTCCTTCACCACCTGCTGCTCTTGAACTGCCCCGTGGTCCTCTGAGCATCCCACCCCTGGCAGAGCTCTGGTCCAGGCTTTGGGACCACACTGAGCCCCACAGCCCATCCTGTCACCCCCACCCTGCTCGGGGTCCTGCTGAGGGGTTTGGTGGGCACAGATGCAGCCAGGGCTCATTTCAGGGGTTTTTTTTACAGGTGAAGATTTTGTGCCAAGAGTTACTGGTGCAGGTGTGTGACCTCCTGAGGCTGAAGGATTGTCACCTCTTCGGGCTCAGCGTCATCCAGAGTAAGTGTGACAATTAACACTTTTGGTGACGAGGAGGTCACAATTCCCCATCCCCCCTCACTAATGGGTCACGGTGGGAGGCAGGGGACACCTGGGGATGCTGATGCCACCTCTGTCCCTCGCAGACAATGAGCATGTGTACATGGACCTGGCCCAGAAACTCTACAAGTACTGCCCCAAGGAGTGGAAGAAGGAGGCCAGCAAGGTCAGCGGTGAGGTCTTGCATGGAGAGCTGACGGCAGTAAGGCCACCTCTGTCCCCGTCACAGGTCACTTCCAGGACCCGGGATTGCTGCCAAGGGCTGGGGGCGCATTTGGTCAGTGTGGGGCTGGGGGGTGGATGTGCAAAATCACAACCCTGGGGTTGTCACTCTAAGTGCCACCATGTGCCCCAGCTGGGGGTGCATCCTCCACGCTCTGTCCCTGGAGCTCTGGGTTTTGTTTTTTTTTATTTTTCTTTCCCTCCCTTATCCTTCAGCAGAATTTTTGAGGTCCCTTCTTTCAAATTCTGAAATCAATTTGGGTTTTTTTTCTCCCCAAAGCACCTTTTCATTCTTTCAGTACTCAGGGGGTGGTGTCCAGGCTCGAGTGCTGGTGGATGATGGTCTGGGAGAGGGAGAGCAGCAGTGAGGTGTTGCAGAACTCCTGGGCTTGTCACACCCAGCCTTTTAAAATCCAAATCCCCTTCCTTTCCAACATTTTATGTGGAAAAATGGGCGCCAAACTCTTAACTGAGGAACAAAAGTGCCGTCAGTGCCGTGGGGGGCAAGGGGTGGCTGTGACAGACATGACCCCAGAGAGCTGAGGTGAGGGGCTGGGGTGTGATGCTGGGATTCCCAGGGGGATTCCTGAAAACCTCCTCCATTCCAGGGCATCGACCAGTTTGGCCCCCCCATGATCATCCACTTCCGAGTGCAGTACTACGTGGAGAACGGGCGGCTCATCAGGTAGGGCATGGCCCCCTGCCCGGCACCTCGGGGGGCTGAGACCTCCCAAAAGCTGGGGCTGGTTATGGCTGGGTGCTGAGTGCTTTCTCACAGGGGCAGGTGGGCACATTGCCCCCAGAGAAAGCCTTTTGGGGGGTGGGGATTATTGTATTTGGGTTGCCCCCAGACGAAGGGAGGAGTGATGAATCTGAGCGTGTTTTATTTGACTCTCAGAATGGTTTGGGTTGGGAGGGAGCTTAAATCCCATCCTGTTCCACCCCCCCACCACCTTCCACTATCCTAGGGTGCTCCAGCCTGGCCTTGGACACTTCCAGGGATCCAGGGCAGCCACAGCTGCTCTGGGCACCCTGTGCCAGGGCCTCACCACCCTCACAGGGATAATTTCTTCCTCACATCTAATCTAAACCTCTTCTCTTTTAGTTCAAAAGCATTTCCCCTTATCCTGTCACTCTCTGCCTGTGTCCAAAGTCACTTTCCATTTTTAATTTGCCACATTAATCATAGAATAGTGACTGGGGTGATTGTGGGAGGATCCCTGGGCTGAGGTGGGGTGGATTTATCCACTTCATGCTGCAAATTGTGTATTTAACAGCATTTTTTCCCCCTTAGGACAAAAGGGAAGTGGAGGCCTCCCTGACCCTGGGGCTGACAACACGGGGCATCCAGATTTTCCAGGTAGGTAATGAAGGTGGTGGCTCAGCTCAGCCATGCCCCTGCCAGAATCCTCAGCCATGGCTCCCTCTCCTCTTTTTGCAGAACCTGGATGAGGAAAAGCAGCTGCTCTATGAATTCCCATGGACAAACGTGGGGAAACTGGTGTTTGTGGTGAGTGCCACCATCTCCACCTGGAGCACTTCCAGCTTCCAGCTCCAGGGTCCTCAGCACAGGAAGGACATGGAGCTCTTGGAGCAGCTCCACAGGGGGCCACGGAGATGCTCCATGGGCTGGAGCACTATTCCCTATGGAGCCAGGCTGGGAGAGCTGGGAATGTTCCCCTGGAGAGGAGAAGGCTCCAGGGAGAGCTCAGAGCCCCTGGCAGGGCCTGAAGGGGCTCCAGGAGAGCTGGAGAGGGACTGGGGACAAGGCATGGAGGGACAGGACCCAGGGAATGGCTTCCCACTGCCAGAAGGCAGGGATGGATGGGATTTTGGGAAGAAATCCTTCCCTGTGAGGGTAAGGAGGCCCTGGGTGTTTAGAGGGTGGGGAGGGTGTTTAGAGGAGCTGGATCCCTGGAAGTGTCCCTGGTCAGGCTGGATAGAGCTTGGGGCACCCTGGGATAGTGGAAGGTGGAAAGGGTTGGACTAGGTGGTCTTTAAGGTCCCTTCCACCCCAATCCCCTCAGTGGTTCCACCATCCCCAGGCGGGGCATCTCCTGGGCGTGGGACGCGTTTGCACCGCCCGGCAGCGGGCGATGACAACCCAGGGGCTACTGAGGAGCTGCAGCAGGGCTGGGTGAGAACTGGAGCCTTCTCCTCTCCGGGGCTGACACCTCCCTTGTCCCACGCAGGGCAAGAAGTTCGAGATCCTGCCGGACGGGCTGCCCTCGGCCCGCAAGCTCATCTACTACACGGGCTGCCCGCTGCGCTCGCGCCACCTCCTGCAGCTGCTGAGCAGCAGCCACCGGCTCTACATGAACCTGCAGCCCGTGCTGCGCCAGGTCCGCAGGCTGGAGGAGAACGAGGGTACGTGCTCCCGGCCCCAGTCCCGCCAGGACAGGCTCCCACGGGGTGTTTACACCTGTAAGAGCTCCTGGTTCTTCTGATTAGGGATGGCGAGCCCTGCTGCCGTCCCTGGTGTCCTGGTTCTGCTTCAGCACGGCTTTCCCAGTGTCCCTCATCCTTGTGAAAGCATAAGGTCTTCTTCCTGTTCTTTCCTCTCCTCGTCTTCTCTTTCTCTTCCTCATCTTCCTCTTTCCCCTCTTCCTCCTTTTCTTATTTGTTCTTCTTGTCCTACTCTTGTTCATCCTCCCCATCTGCCTCAACTACTTCTTCTTTCTCATCCTTTTCATATTTTTCTTTCGTGTCCTCTTCTTCTTCCTTGTTCTCATCTTTATCCTCTTCTTCTTTTGTTTTCCTCCTCATCTTTTTCTTCCATGTCCTCCTCATCATCTTCCTCCTTCTCATCTTCATCCTACTCTTTTCTTGTTTTCTTCCTTCTTTCTCTTCTTTCTCTTCTTTCTCTTCCTCCTCTTCCTCCTCTTCCTGTTTCTCTTCCTTCTCTTCCTTCTCTTCCTGTTTCTCTTCTTCCTCTTCTTTCTCTTCCTCTCCCTCCTCCTCCTTCTTGCTCCTTTCTCGTCCTTCCCCTTTTCATCTTCCTTTCTCCTCCTTATTCTCCTCTTTCCTCTCCTCTTCTTTCTCCTCATCTTCTTCCACCTTGTTTCATCGTCTTGCTCCTCCTCCTCGTCATCTTCTACCTTGTTTCATCTTCTTCCATCTCATCCTCATCTTCCATCTCATCCTCATCTTCTTCCTTCTCATTCTCATCTTCTTCCTCCTCATTTATTTTAGGGATTTCAAAGCCGTGTGGATGTGGCACTTGGGGACACGGGTCAGTGGTGGCCTTGGCGGTGCTGGGGAACAGTCAGACTCCATGATCATCTCTGGAGCAGTGCCTGCACCCAGAAAGTCACTTGCAGCTCTGAGCTGGGAGCTACTGGGAGGTCTTTGGGGATGCCAGGCTCCCTGGGGACAGCTTTGGGTGCCACTTTGGGGTAAATTTGGGATGCTTTGTAGGCCAGGCTGTTTGCAGGTGGAGCTGTTGGGCTGAAGGCACCGCATTGCGCCGAGGGAACCTTTGTCCCCATGGACAGCAGGGGTGGATCCCAAGAGAGCTGAGCCACCCCAAAATAACCTTTGCACCCTCCTTCGTGCAGGACTCATCGTGAAGGAGATCAGCTCCTCCACCTCCAGCTCCTCGGAGACGGTGGTGAAGCTGCGGGGGCAGAGCACCGACTCCTTACCCCAGGTACGTGGGACGGGGGCTTTGGGATTCCCCAACCCCAGGGGCTCCCTGGCAGATCCTGATCCTCCTCTTGGCTTTTCCCAGACAACGTGCAGGAAACCCAAGACGTCGACAGACCGGCACAGCCTGAGCCTGGATGACATCCGGCTCTACCAGAAGGACTTCTTGCAGCTGGCCAACCTGTGCCAGGACACGGCGCAGAGCTTCACCTTCGGCTGCGCCCACGGCCTGGACGAGGACGGGCTCTACTGCAACGGCTGCCTGGCCCAGCAGTGCATCAACATCCAGGACGCCTTCCCTGTGAAAAGAACCAGCAAATATTTCTCCTTGGATCTGACCCACGACGAGGTGCCCGAGTTCGTGGTCTGAGCGTGGGGAGGCTCCGGCGCCGCCTCGCCCCAGCCCTGCCCTGCTCCCTGCACAGCCGGTGCTGGATGAGGGGCAGGATGGGCATCCCCGGGCACGGAGTGCATTCCAGAGGAGTTTGTGCCAAACACAAGTTGTCTTATTCCGACTGGCAGGAGCGCAGCTCAGCTGGAGCTGGCGGAAGCCCAGCTGTGTCTTCTCGTGGCCTCTCTCCCCCTCCTTGCCCCCAGGTGACTCTGGGGTGGCTGGAAAGTGCCAGACTGTCGTGTTCAAGCCAAGCCAAAGAAATGTAAATAACCCTAAAGGCCAGTATGGGAAGGGAGAATTAAGCAATAACCAGCCAGGGATCTCTGGGCATGGTGATGTTCCATGGAGGAAGGCATGGCCAGCAGCTCCTGGGGCAGAGCATGATCCCAGTTTTTCCAAAAACACGTGCTGGAGGTCAGGCCACAGCAGTCCCAGCCAGGTGGATGATGGCTGGAAGCTCTCAGAGCCATTTGCGACTTGTTTTTATATTTTTCTCTTTTTTTTCTATGTATTTTTTTTTGTGAGAGCAAAACCCCAAAACCAAAAAAAAAAAAAAAAAAAAAAAAAAAAAAAAACCAAAAAAAAAAAAAAAAAAAAAAAAAAAAAAAAAAAAAAAAACCACTCTCCCAAAAAAAAAAGAAAGCAAAGCAGGATGGAAAAAAATAAATCCTCTATAAGTATAATGCAATAATGCATCCCAAACATTGAATATCTAGAGAATACATATATAAATATATCAAGGTATGTATGTTTATATATGTCTGGATCTTATAGACCCATTTGCATTTTACTCCTGCTCTGAAACACCTTTTATACAAAGGATCTGCCTTTCTTCTTTCATGAACTCTAGCAACAATCCTATCTTTTTTTTTCTTAAGCACTAAGATGAGAAAACAGACTTTTCTCTCAAGGAGAATGTGCATCCTTGCCTTGTCCGTGTGGCTCTTCCCGTTCATTTCCCTTCTCTTTTCCCAAGGCTTTTCATGCGTCCTTAGGTGTCTTACAGCTGGAATAATTCTGCCAGAGGATGATGGTGACATGCTAGGAAAATCCAGGGGTGGTTTCTGAGTGTGTCCCAGGGAAGGCAGACAGCCCAGGTGGAATATTTACCTATTGCAGAGTTAATTATCACAGCACAATGCCTTTGTAGTGGATATTTTTAATTAGAGTTTAGCCATTGACAGCCAAAGTTTTGCCATATTTTGATACACCACCGTTTTGTTTTTGTTTTTTTTTGTTTTGTTTTTTTTTTTTTTTTTTTTAACTGGAAACTTTTTTTAAAAAAAAAAACCAAAAAAAAAGTATAATTATTTTATAAATAAGCACAATCTTATTTTTATAAGAAATGTTGGGGGAGGGAGCTGAGAAATGGGAGCTGGTACCAAAAGAAATGGAGAGTAGCTATAGGCACAGTGCAAAAAAAACCCAAAATCTCTTGGGATGTTGGGTTATGGGAGAGCTGCTGTGGGACTGTGGCACTGGCACCGTGCCCCCACCCCAGAGCTTGATCTGGCCCTGCCTGAGGGGTTTTATGGGAAAATCATGTCAATATCCCATGTTGGCAGGGCAGGATGGTGGTCCCTAAAGCATCCTTATGTCCCTAAATCCACACAGGGCAGCTGGAGGGATGGGGATGCTGCTGGGGCTCAGGGCTGTGTGCCCCACTCTGGTTTGGGTAACGCCCCACCAAGTACCCCAAAAACCTCTCTTTGGGTGCTGGGATAACGTTTGTGAGTCCAGCCCCCACCCACAGCTGGGTTTGCAGTGTGTGCACCAGCAGGGTGAGTTTCCACGCTGGCACAGGCAGGAAAACTCCCCAAATTCATCCCCAGCCTCTTTTTCCCCCCTCTGCCAGCCTCTGGGTGCTCCCCATGGGACCCTCACCCTGCAGAAACACAGAGCTGGAGGGAAAAAAGGGATAAAACGTGTCAAGAGATGCTCAACTCTGCTGAGAAATGGGGAGGGGGCAGCCCCATCCCATTGCCCTGCATCCAGATTTGGGGTGGAGCAGTGGGGTTGGGAATGGGCTGGGATGGAGCTTGTCCCTACAAACAGCAGCAGTGCCAGGGAGCAGGGGGACACAGAGGTGCCATTTGAGCAGGGGGACACAGAGGTGCCATTTATTCCCAGTTTTCCCGCAGGTGGCCGTGCCCTCCCGCCCTTGGGGCTGTTCCCCCTGCAATAAGGAGCTGTCTGTCTGCACAAAATAATCCTTTCTGTGAAAGGATCTTTCCCATCAGGGCTGATGGGAGAGCCCAGTGACTGTGTTGCAAAAGGAGCAGAAAAAAGAAAAAAAAAAAAAAAAAAGAAAAAAAAAAAAAAAAGGAAACTCAAGGAAAATCAAGCGAAAATCCCCGGAGCGAAATTCTTTTGTACCAATGAAGTTTGTTGTGTGCCTTTTGCAGTACGGCTGGACGTGACAATAAAGTGACAGTTGTTTGCATCACTTGGACTCTTGGAGATGTAAAATGCTCCCAGGCTTCAGGGGGAGACGGAGCAGGGCTGAATTTAAGGATAACCTTGCATTTATTGTGTTCTCTGCTCCGCTGATCCCAGCTCAGGTTAAGGCAGCTCCTGCCTCAGGCAGGGCAGTGGATGGGCTGAGCCTTTCAGTCCTGATTTTTGGTGGTTTTTGGTGGGTTTTGTGGAAGTTCCAGCCAGTTCCAACACTCTGGAGTTGGGAAGAGGCACTCTTCCCAAGAGAGTTGGGGAGCTCCTGAAGTGGGAGTGTGGAGTGTCCATAGTAGGGATCCTGGTGGGATGCTCGGGGGGTCCCCAGCCTTCAGGAGCTGTGGGATGGAGGGGTGACCCCCTCACTGTGGGATGGAGGGATGGAGGGGTGACCCCCTCACTGTGGGATGAACCCCTCACTGTGGCATGGGGGGATGGAGGGGTGACCCCCTCACTGTGGAGCTGTGGGATGGAGGGGTGACCCCTCACTGTGGGATGGAGGGATGGAGGTGTGACCCCCTCACTGTGGGGATGGGGGGATGGAGGGGTGACCCCCTCACTGTGGGATGGGGGGATGGAGGGGTGACCCCCTCACTGTGGGATGGGGGGATGGACGTGTGACCCCCTCACTGTGTTGCTGGGGGGCAGAGCCTGTCCCAGCCCCCAGAACCCCAATCCTGCCCCTCACCTCGGCAGGGGATGGGCAGCGCTCCGTGTGTGATGAGCGAGCCCATCCTCCTCCTCCCTTTCATCCCTCCTCTGCTCCTCGGGGACAGTGGGATGGGGATTTGGGGATGTGGGAGCAGCTCCCTGGTGAGTTTTCCCCAGGGGAGGAAGCTCCACAGCCTTGGCTCGGGATGTGATTCCGAGCAGGATCCTGAGCTGGTGTTTTTGGGTGGTACACGTGGATTCTCCAGTGTCCGATGGAAGGTTTGGGATCCTTTCCCCTCCACAGCACCCAGGACCACCCTCCCATCTCCCTGGTGCTAATTAAACTCAGAACATAATTGGCCACTTGTTTTCCATGTGATTTTGGGCCAGGTTTGCTGATCCTGGCACCTCCTTCCTCCAGCCAAGGAAAACTGTGGAAGGTACCAATTTCCATGTCCCCATTTCCAGTTTCTGGAGCATCTCTTGATCCTCAGTGGATTTATCCTCTCACAGGGAGAGGGTGTGGAGTGCCAGGAAAAGGGGGAATGGCTTCCCACTGCCAGAGGGCAGGGATGGGTGGGATATGGGGAAGGAATTCCTGCCTGGGAGGGTGGGGAGGAGCTGGAATGGAATTCCCAGAGAAGCTGTGGCTGCCCCTGGATCCAAAGCCAGGTTGGAGCAACCTGGGACAGTGGAAGGTGTCCCTGCTCATGGCAGGGGCAGAATGGGATGAACTTTAAGATCCCTTCCAACCCAAACCACTCTGGGATTCCACGAAGATTATGATGATGATGACGATGACGATGATGATGGTGATGAAGAGCCTGTTTTCCAGCCTCAGGGAAGCCTCCAGAGCAGTTTCTCCCAGCACACAGCACTGCCCTGTGGCCCTGGCTGCAGCCCTGTCCCATTTTGGGGTCCCTTGGCCATCCCCCCTTCCTCCATCCCCTGGCGTGGGGATGTGGGGCTGTGCCCCTCTGGAGTGCCCCCACTGCCCCTCCCCTGGCACCTTCAGCATCCACACTGCCAGGAGCATCCAGTGCCTTTTCCACAGGCTCCAGAAATAATTGCATGTTCCCAGCAAATTCCCTTTGTCCTCTAAAAATATCCCTCGGCCCCGGCGCTGACCATCCGCGGGTCCGGGGCCCTAATTGCTGATTTCTGCTAAAATCCGACATTTTCGGGGCAGGAGGGAGGAGCACGAGGGAATGAGCCACTTCTGGGAGGGGGACTGCATTGTCTGCTGCTAAGTATAGCCTCCAGATTCCATGGCTGGCCTATAAAACCCCGGAATTTTCCTCAAAGCAGATGGGGAAGGGTTTGTCGCACCGGCCAGCCCCGTCTGGCGGGGGTGAGGAGGGGAGGGAGCTCTCCCTGCCCCTGGGCTGTGCTTAGAAAAGGCTAAATGGGGATGAATTTCATAAATCCCCCTCCCTTTGATGCCTTGACCTCCACTCCTGCTTCATCTCGGCGCGGGGGAGGTCCCCAGGGACCGAGGGAAAGGTCCTCGAGTTCCCATCCCCGGGATGCTCCCTGCTGCTCCAGCCCCCCTGCTGCTGCTCTCTGCTGCCATTCCAGGGATTTAAACGCTGGCAAAACCAAAAAACAAAAAACAAAAAAGCCAAACCAACAAAAAAAACCCCAAACAAAAAAAAAAAAAAAAACCAACAAAACCAAAACCAAACCAAAAAAAAAAAACAAAAAAAAAACCAAAAAAACAAAAAAAAAGAACAAAAAAAAACCCCAAAAACCAAACAAAAAAACCAAACCAAAACAACAAAAAACCCCCAAAAACTCCAAAAACACAACCAAAAAACCCCAAAAACACAACCAACAAACCCTGCCCTGGGGCCATCTCTTGTCCAGTCGCTGCACTTCCAAATTTTGCAGCTCCCATCACAATTCCAGGCCGGCCGGAGAAGTCAGAGATTTGGGATTTGTAGGGGCAAAGCACCAATTTTAGGGAGCAAAACGCATGCTAAAAAAGGGAAATGTTGCTGTGGTATCCTTAATTTGCTAATTAATTTCCCCCCGCCCTGCTTTCTGCTGCTGCTCAGCAGGGATGGCTGTGCCCGGGTGGGTGCCTGGCACTGCATCCTCTTTTTGTCAGCCCTCCCAAAAAAAAAAGCACAGCTGGATGTGCCCATCAGCACCACCCCAGCCAGGCACCAGCGACTAACTGCTGATAATTACAAAAAATCCGTGGCTCTTTAGGGAATTTCTGGCACCCTGAAATCATCACTGGAGGCAGAGCTTTTAATCAATGCAGCCCCGCGGGTCCCCTGCGCTGCCTGGGGGTCACTGCGGAGGGTGGGGGGCTCTGCCGGCTCCAGGGGGGTGCCAGGGCTTCAGGGACGGCTCTGGGTGGGATTTTGGGGTGTCCCAGGGGGGCACCAGGGTGCAGGGACAGCTCTGGGTGGGATTTTGGGGTGTCCCAGGTGAGTACCAGTGCTTCAGGGATGGCTCTGGGTGGGTTTTTGGGGTGTCCCAGGGGGGTGCCACGGTGTAGGGACAGCCCTGGGTGGGTTTTTGGGATGTTCCAGGTGGGTACCAGTGTGCAGGGATGGCTCTGGGTGGGATTTTGGGGTGTCCCAGGTGGGTGCCAGGGTGCAGGGACAGCTCCGGATGGGATTTTGGGGTGTCCCAGGTGGGTGCCAGGCTGCAGGGACAGCTCCGGGTGGGTTTTTGGGATGCCAAGGTGATGTGCCAGGGTGCAGGCACAGCTCCGGGTGGGATTTTGGGATATCCCAGGTGGGTGCCAGTGCTGGAGGGACGGCTCTGGGTGGGATTTTTGGATGTCCCAGGTGGGTACCAGTGCTTCAGGGATGGCTCTGGATGGGATTTTGGGGTGTCCCAAGTGGGTGCCACGGTGTAGGGACAGCCCTGGGTGGGTTTTTGGGATGTCCCAGGTGGGTGCCAGGGCTGGAGAGACAGCTCTGGATGGGATTTTGGGATGCCAAGGTGATGTGCCAGGGTGCAGGGACAGCTCTGGGTGGGATTTTGGGGTGTCCCAGGTGGGTGCCAGGGCTGGAGAGACAGCTCTGGATGGGATTTTGGGATGCCAAGGTGATGTACCAGGGCTGCAGGGACGGCTCTGGGTGGGATTTTGGGATGCCAAGGTGATGTGCCAGGCTGCAGGGACGGCTCTGGGTGGGTTTTTGGGGTGTCTCAAGTGGGTGCCACGGTGTAGGAACAGCTCTGGGTGGGTTTTTAGGATGTTCCAGGTGGGTACCAGTGTGCAGGGACAGCTCTGGGTGGGATTTTGGGGTGTCCCAGGTGGGTGCCAGGCTGCAGGGACGGCTCTGGATGGGTTTTTGATGTCAGGGTGATGTGCCAGGCGGCAGGAACAGCTCTGGGTGGGTTTTTGGGGTGTCCCAGGGGGGTGCCACAGTGTAGGGACAGCCCGGGGTGGGTTTTTGGGATGTTCCAGGTGGGTGCCAGTGTGCAGGGACGGCTCCGGATGGGTTTTTGGGATGTTCCAGGGAGGTGCCAGGGTGCAGGGACAGCTCTGGATGGGATTTTGGGATGCCAAGGTGATGTGCCAGGCTGCAGGGACGGCTCTGGGTGGGATTTTGGGATGGTCCAGGTGGTTGACAGGGTGCAGGGACAGCTTCGGGTGGGATTTTGATGTGGGGGTGATGTGCCAGGGCTGAGCTCCCGCACCCCCCGTGCAGGGCAGCGGAGGAAATCGGTCATCGAAGGAAATCAGTCATCGAAGGAAATCGGTCACCGAAGGAAATCGGTCACCGGGGGTTGCTGTGGAAACGGGAGAAGCCCGGGCGGTGCCAGCGCGGCTCTGCCCAGCCCGGCCGGGGAGGGGACACGAGCCCCCGGTCCCCCTCTGTCACCCTTCGGGATGCTCCCAAAAGGAGCTGCGTCCCGCGGTGCTGCTGCTGTGGGCGCTGCCACGGCTGGTTTGGGCTGGTTTGGGCTGGTTTTTGCTGTTTGGGGCTGGTTTGGGGCTGTTTTGGGATGATTTTGGGGCTGTTTGGGGATGGTTTGGGATGTTTTGGGCGTTGTGCCCCTCCCCACTTCTGCTGTGCCCCCTGCTCCCCTCCCCTGCCCCGGGGACACAGGAATTTCCTTTCATAAAATCATGGAATTCCAGAGTGGTTTGGGTTGGAAGGGGCTTTAAATCCAATCCCATCCCACCCCTACTATGGAAGGGACACCTTCCCCCAGCCCAGGCTGCTCCAAGCCCCAATGTTCAAGCTTCCCTGGAACAATTCCAGGGATTTGGGGCAGCCCCAGCTTCTCTGGGCACCCTGTGCCAGGGCCTGACACCTTCCCAGGGAAGGATTTCCATGAGGACACAGCTGGGCTGGGGCAGATGGAGGAAAGGGAAAAGCCACCTTATAAAAACCCCATCCCTCATACCTCCAAAATCTTCCACCTGAAATCCCCCAAACTAGGCTGATATTGACTGAAAAAAAAAAATATAAAATATTAAAAAATATTAAAAATATAAAAAATATATAAAATAAAAATATATAAAATATATAATATATAAAAATAATACAGAAAAAAGTAAAATATATAAAATATATAAAATACTGAGCTGTGCCCTAAATGGGAACAATTGGAGTTGGGAAGGGTTGGAGGGGCAGGGAGGGGTTTGGGTGTGCCAGGGGATGGGGGCTGTTGGGAAGGGAAGGATTAGGAGGGATCCAGGATTTTTGAGGGCTCCAGGGACATGAAAGGATCCAGACATGGGGTGTTGGTAGCAGTGCAGGGGGGTGAGAGACGGCAGGGATGGGTTTAGGGGGCAGGGACAGGGGCAGGGACAGGAGATGGGCAGGGGCAGGGACAGGGGCAGGGACAGGAGATGGGCAGGGGCAGGGACAGGGACAGACACAGGGACAGGGGCAGGGACAGGGGCAGGAGATGGGCAGGGGCAGGGCAGGAGGCAGCGGGCTCTGGGCAAAAGCGATCCGCAAACGCCGGGCGAGCGCAGAGGAGAGCAGCAGCAGCAGCAGGAGGAGGAGAGGAGAAGGAGGAGAGGAGGAGGAGGAGGAGGAAGTCGGGGCTGAGCCGCTTCCTGTAGGCAGCGGGATGAGCGCAGACAAAGCTGGGTGGGGACTCGCCGCTCGGGGCTGCTGCTGACCACCATCCTCCTCCTCCTCCTCCTCCTGCTGCTGCTGCTGCGGCCGCATCCCTCCGGCCCTCCCTCCTCCATCCCTTCCTCTATCCCAGCGTCCGTCCGCCCGTCCCTCCATCCATCCCTCTGTCCGTCTGTCCGTCCCGCCGCCGCCCGCCCCTCGGGGAACGGGGCACCGCTTCCAGGTACGGCCGGGCAGGGGGGAATGGGGGCACTGGGAGCACTGGGAACACTGGGAGGGCTGGCACTGGGAGCACTGGGAAGGCTGGCACTGGGAACACTGGGAGAGCTGGCACTGGGAGCACTGGGAAGGCTGGGAGGGTTGGCACTGGGAAGGCTGGCACTGGGAGCACTAGGAGAGCTGGCACTGGGAGCACTGGCGGCACTGGGAGGGCTGGCACGGGGGCACTGGGAGCACTGGGAGGGCTGGCACTGGGAGCACTGGGAAGGCTGGCACTGGGACCACTGGGAAGGCTGGGAGGGTTGGCACTTGGAGGGCTGGCACGGGAGCACTGGGAGCACTGGGGGCACTGGGAGCACCGGGAGCACCGGGAGGGCGCACTGGGAGCACTGGGAGGGCTGGCACAGGGGCACTGGGAGCACTGGGAGGGCTGGCACGGGGGCACTGGGAGCACTGGGAGGGGTGGCACTGGGATCACTGGGAGCACTGGGAGCGCTGGCAGCGGCCGCCCCGCCCGCACTGGCGCAGGTGGCGCTGGGCAGGGCTGTCCCCACCCCCGCCAGCCGCTGTCACTGACCCCCGTGGGGACCGAGCCGCTCCTAAATGGGCAGGAAATCCCCCCAAATCCCGCAATGGCCGCAGCCCACGGGGACCCCGCGGTCTCGGGGGGCGATGGGGGCGCGGGGGTCCCGCCCCGCCGGGGGAAGGTGCTTTGTGCGGGGAGTTCAGGCTCCCAACAAAGGTTGGATTTAAAGGGTTTGATCCTCCTTAATCAGCTGATTTGCCATCACAGGCAAGGCTTTCTCCGTGGATGAATGAGACGTAGTGTTCTTTCTTTCCTGATTTTGGTGTTTTTTTGTTTTTATTTTTAATCACGGGAAGGAAGGAAGGAATGGGGAGACTTTCCCAACCCCAAATCCCCGCAGCAGCCTGTGCTGGGATCAGCCCCAGCCTGGCCTGGAGGGATTTGGGGGTGATGTCCATGCTGGTCCATCCTGCCATCCCTACAGCAGGATGTGTCCCTCTCCTTTCTATCCAAGCCCGTGCTTTCCCAGCAGAGCTTTCTTTGGGTGAAGGATTCCCGGGAAAACCGCCGGGATGAGCTCAAGGAAAGCTGGTCCAGGGCTGGCTTGCCCCAGTGGGAGGGGGGAATCCAGCAAAAAACTGACACAGGGAAGATTAGGAATAGAAATTGGGGGAAATTCCTGGCTGGGAGGGTGGGCAGGCCCTGGCACGGGGTGCCCAGAGCAGCTGGGGCTGCCCCAAATCCCTGGAATTCTTCCAGGCCAGGTTGGACAGGGCTTGGAGCAGCCTGGAAAGCTGTGGATGGCAGGGAGTGGAATGGGATGGGCTTTAAGGACCCTTCCCAACCATGTCAGAGATTCCATGATTCTCGCCTCCTTGGTGGAAAATGATTTATATTTAAGGACAATCCTGACGCACAGCGATAACCCCTCATTAATCAATCGCTAATGAGCTGCTAATGAACTTAGAGCACGGTGCCCAAAGGGCAGCGGCTCGGAGCAGCAGGGATCTGCCTCTGCTGTTCCTGCTGCTGCCTCTGGGCTCTAATTTCTTTCCCCATTTCCCCCTGCCCTCCCGAATCGCTCCCGATCCATCTCCTCCCCAGGGATGCCGTGCTCCTCACTCCTGGAGAAGGAAGGGGCTGGGGCCGTGTGGATGGGTGGCAGCAGGCTGCAGCCAGGCACTGAGGGTTTTTCCTTATAACTGGATTTCCCTGAATGCAACTGGAGCATGCGATTTTAATCCTCTTTCCAGCCATATGGCCGCTGGCTGGATTGAAATATGACTCAATTAATTATTGCCAGCAAAGCCCTGGGGCCAAGCCTTTCTCTGGGAGGGGGTTTGGGGGTGCTCCCGGGGTTCTGATGGGGCTTTTCTCACCCTGCGCTGTGGGATTCGGGGATGGGGCTCAGCTCCATCCCGCCCCAGTTTCTGTGCTGGCCCCACAAGGCCGGGCATGGCCCCAGCTGCTCCTTGGCACCAGTTTTTGGGGCTTTTTTAGGCATTTCCAGCCTTGCAGGAGGAGGCAGGGATGCTGCTTGATGCAATGTGCTGCTGGCTGCTCACCTGGAGCACCAGCCTGGCAGTCTCAGCATCACCTGGATGACGGCTGGAGGCAGCCCTGCCCCCAAAATGGGAAATTCCCAGCTTGGGAGGACCTGTGGTCCCCTCTCCCAGCTTCCCTGGGAGCTGCCAGCCTTGCTCCCAGTGGATGGTGCACCAGCCTGAAGGATCTCGTGGGGTTTTCTCCTTGCAGTCACGAGCTGGTGATGGCTTGGTGGGGCACATTTTGGATCTGGGGGAGACGATGACTGAGGCTGCTTCATGGCATGGGGGTGCTCAAGGCCAGGAGCAGGCAATCCTAGAGGGATTCCCATGGATTGATGGCTGTGAGCTGGTGAAGAAGCTCTAATTTTTCTAAAAATTATTGTTATTATTATTGTTACTATTATTATTACTGTTATTAATCCCCAATCCCGCCCGCTGCTTTGCCACCCCATGCCAAGTGTAAAATGCAATAAAAAAATGCAATTTTTCCCGGGGTGGGCAGTGCCATCCCACCTGGCAGCCCCGCGGATGCTCCCGCTGGAATTCCAGGGGCTCCTGAATCCCGGTGAGTCACCGAAGGAGGACAGCCAGGCGCCGGCGCTGGCTGTTTCCATAGTAATTAGGGCTGGAGAGACGGTGCTGGAGCCCCCCGTGTCCCCAAAAAGCGCTGCCAGCCAGGGCTGTGCCGCTCCATCCCGCCCATCCCGCCGGGATGCTCCAGGCGGGCACGCCCGGAATCGGGGGCTGCTCCCTCCCGCTGGATCGCCCCGTTCGGGGCTGGGATTTAGGGCTTCACCCTGGCAAAACAGCATTTTAGGCTCGAGTGGCATCAATTCTCAGCGTGACTTCTCCGAGGGTCTCCCTGCTGTGCCCGGAGCGGGATGGGAAAGCGGGATGGGAAAAGTGGGATGTGCCCGTGTGTGGTGACAGCCAGCATGGAAGAGAGGAACGGGCTGAGGGATTAGGTTGGATTTTCAGGTTTTCTTGCTTTTCAGGCTCTTCTCTTGCTGTTCTCCCTCTCTGGGCTCAGCCTCTTTGTGGGGAGGAGGGATGAGGGCACTGGGAAATGAAACCCCGTTCCATGGAAAAGGATGTGGCTGCATCCTGCTCCACTGAGGAGGAGGGATTTTTTGCCTGTCCTCGCACAGTTTTATTCCCTGCTCACTTCCAACCCAGCTTTCCATGTGCATTTTTCCTTCTGGGCGCCTCGTGCATGGTGCAAACCCCCCAAATCCACTCCCTTTAGAGCACAGGAGTGGCCTTGTCCACCCAAAATCCTTGGGAGGAATGACCAGGAATGGCCCAAAATCCCTCCTGGTCCTGCTGCTGGTCCTGGGAAGCTCGGGGTGGCTGCAGGGACAGGGACAGGGACAGGGACAGGGGCTGGGGCTGGGGGAGAGGCAGCTCTGAGCTGGGAAGGGCAGGATCCAGCTGGATGGGTTTGGCTCCAGGGAGAAGCCAGGCTTGCTCCAAAGCCCACCCAGAGCGGCTGGGATGGAGCTGGAGGGGTGTGGGTGCTGGATCAGGGCAGTGATTAATTAATGGTGCCTTTGATTGGGAATGTGCCAGGGAATCGAGGTGCTGGGTGGGCAGGGAGGAGGCTGGATGCAGGAGCAGGGAATGACAGAGCAGGGAATGACAGGAGCAGGGAATCAGGGAATGGCAGGAGCAGGGAATGGCAGGAGCAGGGAATCAGGGAATGGCAGGATCAGAAATCACAGATCAGCGAATCAGTGAATCACAGATCAGGGAATGACAGGAGCAGGGAATGACAGGAGCAGGGAATCACAGATCAGGGAATGGCACAGGCAGGGAATGACACAGGCAGGGAATGACAGGAGCAGGGAATGGCAGGATCAGGGAATCAGGGAATGACGGGATCAGAGAATGACAGGATCAGAAATCACAGATAAGAGAATCACTGAATCACAAGATTCAGGGAATCACGGATCAGGGAATCACGGATCAGGAAATGACAGGGTCAGGGAATCAGGGAATGACAGGATCAGGGAATCACAGATCAGGGAATGGCAGGATCAGAAATCACAGATCAGGGAATCACTGAATCACAGGATTCAGGGAATCACGGGTCAGGGAATGACAGATCAGGAAACGACAGGACCGGGGAATCACAGGATTAGGGAATCACAGAATTACAGGATCAGGGAAGGTGGCTTGTGTTGGAAGGGGTCTCAGAAACCATCTGGGACGGGAGAGGACGCAGCCGTGCTGAGGCTGGAGTCTAAAATCACTCATCTCCTGCATTTCCTGTGGGAATGGTCCAAGCACCAGGATCAGTGGGAATAAAAATCCCTTCTGAAATGACATTGGGCCAAGCCTTGAAAAATCAGCGCCTTGCAGCTGAGGCACCCTGGATAATTCCTGGGAAGCAGCTGCACCAGGACCTGCTTATGCTCCCAAACACAATTAATTTTCACCTTATCTCGTCCTTCCCTGGCTTTTCACTCAGCAGTTTCCTTCCTCTTGTCTGTCATCATCATCCTCGTTAGAGCCCGGGTTAATTAGTTTATCCAAGGGAAGCTCTCCTGGCTGGAGCTCTCTGCTGCTCTCCTGCAGATTCCCAAGCCAGCTGAGCTGCAGGTTGGTTTTTCCAGGGGTGCTGCTCCCAGGAGCTGCTGGATAAGCTCCTTTGGCTGAGCTGCTGGCTCAGTTTAACAGGTTTATCTTCCTCTCTGCTCTCCCGAGGGCTTTGGGAAGGAAAGTTGTCTCTGTCCATCCCGTGGTGCTCCCTAGGAACAGCTTTCCTGCCTGGAAAGGTCCTGGATGGGCACTGCAAGAGGGATCTGTGTGGGAAGGAGCTGCCTTGGAGCTCCTCAGGGATTTGTGCTCCTTCCCGGGTCACATGAAATCTCCCAAAAAGGGGAAAAAAAATCCTTGGCAGAGCACGGGATATTCCCACTGCAAGCTCCT